CCCCAAAACCCCAAAACCCCAAAACCCCAAAACCCCTCTAATATAATTAGAAATTGAAGCACTATAAACTAGTTCAATTATTGCTGAGATGAAGATCCTGTTTTCGTTGATCTCCTTGTACTACTTCTTGATCATATCTGAGAGATTTTCTTAGACTCATTCCTGAAATGAAAAGGCCCCTTTGGTAAGGACATCTTCGCAATCCCTCCTCCGCTCGCTCTGGTTTGATATTTCGTTATATTTTTAGAATTTATTCTTCCCATCATAGCACTATCGGGTCGAGAAATAGGTTTATATCTCTGAAAAGTTGCACTAAATATTATTTTTGCCTTCCTCTGTTGATGCAGAAGCAATATTATTCGGTTGAGCGTTAGACCTTGTCCTTCCCAATCCACTATTGATACGGTTGTCTCTATCCATATGTGAATCCGAGTTCCGAGATGGAGACGGTCTCATTGTTCTAGAGGGTGGACCTCTTCTTTGCTGGATTATCCGAGGAGCAGTTTTATACTTCTCTTCTATATTATATCCAAAACTTTCGAAAGATTGATCGTAATAGTATCCTTTGAACAGATCTTGGACTGTTTCTCTCCTGAGGAGAATATTGGCTTCCTTCATTTTGTCAGAGTCTTCATCTTTCCATCCGTCATTAGTTACTTTGACATCAAAATTATCAGTGCTGTCTGGGATAAATGGAGCGATCAACTGCTTTTTCTCTAATTCTTCCCAAGGGAATCCATCAAACCAAGGATGGGACTTGACCTCCGAAGGTCCGTTATAACCAAGCCTGGATCCAGGCTTTCTCTGAAGTAATTTGTTCGCAAAATCTCAGGCTTCGGAGCTCCAGCCTTCTGGAATATCATGAGCCCTTATTTTAATTTGCTTCGCTAAGATTTGATCTCTGATTTCTTTCCGTGATTTTCCTCGATAGGGTCTCTAGAAATAAACTATTGTGTACTTACAAATCCAAAGATTCACTCGAAAACAATGACTCCGAGGGCAAAGTAATCAACAGCGACTCCATGGTTCTGGCGGCACATTACTTCTGGGGCCATATAACCTGGAGTGCCGCTAGTATCTTTCTTATTTTCGGGGTTCCAAATTCTTGCTATTCCAAAGTCAGTTATCCTCAAATATCCATCGTTATCAAAGACAATATTTTCAGGCTTGATGTCTCTGTGGATAATACTGTTCTTGTGGCAGTACTCAAGCCCAAGGATGATATTGGCAGCGAAGAACTTGGTCTGCAGCTCAGTAAACCTCCGATGTTTACAGATGTGGTACCTCAGGTCCCCTCCGCCAAGGTAGTCCATGATCAGGTACAAATTATGCCTGTCTTGAAAAGCGTACTTCATGTTCACAATATAGTCATTATGAAGCTTGGATAGAAGATTTCTCTCGTTGAGAACGGAATTCACGCTCTTATTTAGCGAGGATTCTCTGCTTGGACATCTCTTTCATTGCGTACTGGATGTCGCCTTCTTGGACTCTCCAGACTCTTCCGAAGCCGCCTTTACCGATGACGTACATCATCATGAACTGGTTCTTTGTGACTACTATAAGTAGGGTTTATAAGTCATTTCTACTTGTTTTTAGGAAATATTGTAAAAGAGAGCAAAATTTGGGAACTCAGAAGAAATAATGTCGTTGGCTAATGTTTAGGAGTGGAGAATAGCGGTCTCTTAAGGGATGAACACATTTTGTAATTGTAAACATTGAACTAGATAGGGATGGAAGGCTTAACAGGACCATAGAAAAATTCGGAAATCTGAAATTTTCAAAATATTCTTTATTTGGGCAAGAGTATTCCCTTTGATTTATTCGTGGTGTCAAAAACGGCCAAAGAATTAAAATCAATAATTCAAATTTCTAACTATAGAGAAATTAGGATTTCTAAGAAAACATAAAGCATAGTTTGCAAGATATAACAATCCTAAAAATCCAGAACAAATTTTATAAAAATTTCCTTCTTTCCCAATTCCCCAATTTTATCACCCCTAAAGTCCCTCCTCCCATCCAAATCCATGCTCTCCACCCCAAGCCTCCAAACTACCCTTCTCCACTCACACGCCCTCTCACCAGCACAAAAAATCCTGCTGGGCTAACTTAGCTCCCCAAGCAGCTAGTCACCACCAAAATTTGCCGCTGGCTTCAAATCAATAGCCTAAAATAATAAATTTGGAATATATATAATGTATAAGTCCAGTCAGATAGTTCTATTATTCATCCATAGTCATGAGCTTGAACGTGGTTTAGTCCCTCACTCAACCGTAAGTCCAGCCTAGTTTTAGTGATCCTTAAAATTCTAGCCGATAAGGTGCCAGGCGCTTACCTTTACAAGAGACTTCATCTCCATCTCTCTCGCTCTTGAACGAACAGTTTCCCATGTTGGAGCCAACAAATTCTTTATTATTTATAAAATTGGGGTTTTGGGGTTTTGGGGTTTTGGGGTTTTGGGG